AAAGCCACAATTAGACAGTGCGCCAGAAGGTGAAGTGAATTTTTTCAGCAGTTCTTCCATATATTCAAACGAAGCGCCATAATCGAGCTCGACGATTACTAATTGTTATTGCATCACTTTCAGCGGCACTTTGCTTATTCGTAATTTTGTTGGCCGTATTTTATTGGTTTCCCGGATTTGATTGCCCGTACTGTGAATACTTCAACTGTATACCGTACACCGATCATTTCTGTGATAATCAAGGCTTACGACTCAAAAGTTGGCTGCCAATTTGATTCCTTCCAGTGTGTTTATTTTGTGTGTAAAATATTGATATCGCAAGTATATGGTTTTTTTCATATCACTTGCATTTTTGCCTGAGCTTTAATAATTGTGCTTTTGATGACAAATTGCAATATACTTTTTTACTTTAAATTTCTTTTTCTCTCTGTTTTTCCTGTCACTTTTGGTGTAAATGTTTGCTGATAAAAATGAACGGAGATCGTTTTGAAGAATAGAAGCTACTCTCACAAAAATTTTTTGGATGACAGTTCTAAATTGTTATTTTTTTGCGCCCTTTTTCGCCTTAAAATATGCGTTTTTATGGCTGGCGGGTACGACAGATTGTTAATAAATTGACGGGTCTCTCTCCTCCCTGGGACTGAAACTTTTCATTCGAATCCGGCAATGGAAGAACTGATCCTTCTGTAGTTTATTGCTTCTTTTCGATGATTATTATTTGTCGCCTGCCTAATTTGTCTGAAGGAAGAAACCATCATCAACAACCGTGCCATTAATTTAGTTCTAGTTAACAAAGTGCTATTACTCGGGTCGCTTCGAGTGCCCCCGTCTTTCGTAGAGAGTGAAATATGGGAGGTTTTGATTTTTGAGTTTTCAGTTAGGAATTTTAACATAAAACATCTTAAGCAAGCGAGTTTGATATTTGTTAGCTCTAAAACTGTGATGAAGAAATCATGCCGCAGCTGAAACGGTCGTGCTGTAGTTCAGCATAGTTTGTAAACGAATCGAAAATCCTAGATAGAATCAGGATAGTGGAAAAATACGAAAAAAGTATACGTACTGCCCGGACAGTCAATGCGAGAATCCTATCTTGGCGGTATTACTGGGATTTACTCCCATATGCCAGGCACAGCTACGCCAGATCCTTCGATCCTGAATTTTGAATACCTCCAACTGGTATCCACCGGGCAGTATGTGTGCTATTCTAAAATTTTGAAAATTTGCCAGTTTGTTTAGCCTTGTTTTTTTTCCAATTTCTTTCAGC